CAGTTCAGTGCTAACGAAGAAAATGAAACTTTTATATCTGAAGTTTCTAAAGAAGATATAAAGTTTGGTAATTGTAAAACATTGGTTGCAATTTTTATTCAAATATTAGAAGTATTTTAAATACCGTACCTATTTTTATATAATATAATAAACATATTAAAACTATGTTAAACAAATGTCAGTCTGATTTATTTAAAATAATTCTAACATGTTTAATTAATTATTAAACAAATTACATTAACTTAAATTAAAAATAAACAAATTTTGAAAACTTTCCAAATAGAACAAAACTTGATCATAAATAATGACAACTTAGACTCAATCTTTTATCTTTAAATTTTTCTTCGACGCATAAATAAAAATGCATAAGTTCGTGTGCAAATAATTAGAAACTTCTTTATTTCTTACGATAGTCTGAACATTTAGAATTGGGATAACTTTAGTTGTACCTATTGTAAAGAAAAGAAAGTAAATTCATGGAAATATAATCGATGTGAAACGTCGAATTTAGAGTGAATGTGAAATATTCAGTTTAAATTTACTGCAAGAAAGGAAAAGAGAGATCCGTATATTCAATCATTCTTCGCAAACGGTATCGATTTCTTTGCTATTGAAAGGCTTTCATCTAAGGAAGATTGCGTACTAAATTGCCTCAAGAAATTTTCATTAATTCGAGAGAAAACACGTTGCTGCCACGGTGCATCACGTTGCAAACACTCATTGCCTAGTTGATGTCAATGAATAAACAACACAGAAGCTGCTTCATTGGAATCATTTGGGAACGAACATTAGTACGCCTTCGTTGCACCACTGCAGTATGTAACGATCGTCATTTCGAAACGAAAAGCAGTTTGTTGAACTGACATTAAGCTCTTCTAATGTTCTTATCTCTTTTTGTTGAGAATAAGGAACTAGCTATTTACAATAGGCGCCCCTTAATGTGATCCCGTTTGTCCACGACTATTCTGATAACATTAAGCGAATGATAACATTAAATGATGACAAAAACTATCTTTCAAAACATCAGTGGAATTGAACTAAGTTAATATAAAATATCAAGAAATATATAAATAAGCTTGAATTAAAATAACACACCGAATAACAACTATCGGAGAACTTAAAAGCCACAAGTATCAGCGTTTATGAAGATTACGCTGATTCTTGTTGCTGTAACTCCTCCAATAATATAAATAGGTGTTTTCAGATTCAATAGGAAAAAAAGAAAAGTTTGTTTATGAAAAAATCATAATGTCTTTAATTCAAAACTTCATTTATAATTTGTTGATAATTTCTGTAAATTATTTGACGATGTTGTACCACTAATAGTAATAGTCAGAAAACTCCGTCATTGGAAAAGAAAATATCAGTATAAAATTTTAGATTAAAGCAAAAAAGCAATCTTAGTTTATCGTAGATGTTTTCAAGGAATTTTTTGTGTCCTTCAAGAGGAAAAAAATCTACAGTTGCTCCTAAAGAAGAAATACTTATGTTTCATCACTCTCAAAATCCATGGAGTTATTTAAAACCTAAATTAAACTAAGGTTGTTTTTACGCCTAATTTGAAACGGTTGGCTAAAATCGATGCCAAGCTGTTTGGTGACTTTTAAAACAGTACTGTAAGTGGAAACAAATGACCACGACCAATGATTGCGAAACTAAAGGCCGGTAAGGACATTTAAGCTCGATAAAGGGATGGATATGTATAGAGAGGCAGCGAGAGACCAAATATCTGTGATGATGGTGGTGTATTTAATTATGGCAAAGCACACTAGGACTATCTGCCTAAGAGGAGGGATGCCTTCCTGGAGGACTTTCTAAGCGAAACTGGCTCGTATATACGTTACACATGGGTAAAACCATGAAAACACACAATGCAGCCAGCCCGTTAGCGGGATTCGAACCTCGGACCGAACTACCAGTGTTCAGCGACTTTACCGTTCGGCCGCTGGTGGGCTCCAGACCAAATATATATAGAGAGATATATCTCTATATATACATATAAATATATATAGAAACCAAATATCTCTCTCTATATATATATTTTGCAATCTATTCTACCAGCAATGCAACAGACAAAAACTCCAAGTAGCAGAGCACAAATGTCAAATTCTACTAATCGCAAAGAAGGGAGGATCACTGACTAGAAGACCGACAAACCGCGTCAACAATCGTCGAATTAAAATTGTCCGTGTCCTGAGATACCTCGGCCTATACATAGATGAAAAACTGACATGAATGCCGCACATACTTAATTTAAGGAAGCGTACAGCAACCATAGCACAGCATTTCAGAATGCAACGCGGATTTCATTGGGGGATTAATTCTCACATACAAAAAGTGTTATATCTTACTGTCGTCAAGAAGATGGTGTCCTATGGAGCGGCCATTTGGGCCTTCCCTATGCAGAGAAGGAAAATCCGGCACCTGTCTGCACTACAGAGGCCCTTCCTACTCTCAATTACAACGGCCTTCAGGACAACATCTACTGATGCACTAAACATCTTGGCAGGAGTGCTCTCACTTCATCTACGCATAGAAGAAGAAGCAGTGACACAACAGGTTCAGCAGTTAAGACTTTCACTTACTTATGATTACATTAGCTTCTCTCAAGAACAGTTTGAGAATAAGACCTCACAACTTCACATACACCCAGCAATCAAGGGTATTGGAATTCACCTCACGAAGAACCCAGCATATGTGGCACCATCCGGCTACATCTCCATCTACACAGATGGTTCTCGTATTGACGAAAAGGTAGGCAGCGCCTTTGTCGTGCTCAGTGAACAACAACAACCCCTTCACCAATGGCAGATGCAGCTCAGCACTGAAAACAGCGTTTTCCAGAGTGAAGCACTCGCCATTCACGAGGCCATACGCTATCTAACGAATAATAAAATCTCCAAAGCCTTAATACATACAGATAGCCTGTCTTCTATGCAAGCAATTGCCAATTCAGAACATACCTCCCCGCAAATAGCAGGCATTCAAAAAAGTCTACGTGAAAATGCTCACAATCATTACGTCATAAAATGGATTAAAGCGCACACAGGTATTTATGGCAATGAACTTGCAGACGGCCTGGCAAAAGACGCCGCCACTGGGAACAACATTACTACAGTACAGATCCCATGGCCTACCTCATATCTAAAAAGACCTTACGGCAAATTGTTTGCAATAAATGGCAGCAGGAGTGGACCAACAGCTTGACCGGCAGAAGAACTTTTTACTTCAAGCCAAAAGTACATTTACAAAGACTTATCGCCAGTCCTCTCTTGGTACGTTACATATCCGGTCATGGTCCCCTTCCCACAGTACTATCATCGACACGCTATCACCAGCACTGACGAATGCATCTGTGGCGAAGAGGGCACAGCAGACCATTACATCACTCACTGCATGTCCCCTTACAGAGGACCACCATATTGCCATTCCTGTAACGGATAGGCAGGCCTGCAGGTTCCTCGTTAAGCATAAACCAACAATACGCCAAATCACTGCCGTCATGTCAAAGCTAATGACACTTGGCACAGAATTGTGTCAAACTGCTTAATGTAACTTGTTGTGTCAAGCAGCATAATGACTACTGCATAGGAATCACAAATTTATGCATGTACTATGCCTATTTTTCACATCAGACTATTTATATACAGACTGCAACCCAATCTGCAGATTACCTTTCCTTGTGCAATTGTGCAATTAATAATGTTAAAATATTTCAACATAGTGACTTTTTCTGCATGTATATTACATGCAAATTAATATAACCTGCATTATATAATGTGTATAGTATATGAAATGCAGGTTTGTAATATGCACTATGTAAAACTTGGCACAGAATTGTAAGAAACTGCTTAATGTATCTTATGGTGTCAAGCAGCATAATGACTACTGCATATGAATCACAAACTTATGCATATAGTATGCCTATTAATTACATATCTGACTATTTATACTTATTCAATTTCTCAGTAATTGTAAACTGTACTATTTAATGTGTGTAATATGTACCATGCTAATATTGTAGTAATATGAACCATGCTAATATTATTATAATATGTACCTTCCTAACATACTAAGTAATTGTAAACTGTAAATGCGTGTAATATGTACCATGCTAATATTCTATGTAATTGTAATCTGTAAATGTGTGTAATATGTACCATGTCTCAGTAATTGTGTGTAATATGTACCATGCTAACACTCTCAGTACTTAAACACTATTCAATCTCTCACTAAATGTTAAATGTACTATGAAATGTGTGTAATACGTACCATGCAAGTATTAATTAATATTATTAACTATTAACGAACTTCTTAGTAAAGATAATCAGTATTATATAATGTATGTACTATCTATCATGCAAGTCTGTAAATAATAATGAATGCATAGAGTTAACCTAAGTATCTAATCATGTATAATTAACGTAAATATTGAACCTTACGGATGCAAAGAACCTTAAACATAAGTTATATTCAATTTCCCAGTAAATGTAATGTGTAATATGAAATGTGTGAAATATGTACCATGCAATATGAATGTAAATGCACCATGCAAGTATGAATAAGCAAGTCCGAATATGGTACGGCATGTGTAATAGTCATGCAAGTCAGAGTATGGCAATATGTACCATGCAAGTCGGAATGGGTAGCGATAACCTAAGTACCTAATTATGTCATTCTAGATAAGGACGGGCGTGGTGCTCATACCAATTAACCGTAACGGTAGAGGGATGGTGCCCACGTCCTCCGTCACTCACTCACTCTCTATATATATTGCAAGAAATCCAGTTTTGAAACTAAAGGGCCGTACAATCAAACGAACTCGGGAACTAAAACTGCTGGGGCTTATAATCGATGAAAAGCTCTCCTGGCTGCCTCATCTCAGAGCTGTCCGCGCGAGGACACACGCAATTGCAAATACCTTAAGGAGGCTTCAAGGCTCAGACTGGGGCCTTAAACCACATATCCTAAAAATCCTCTATCAGTCCGTTGTGAAAAAAATGGCCCTCTATGGAGCGGCAATCTGGGCAACTCCAATGAACGAAAGGAAAAGGAAATTGCTAAGTAGTATACAACGCCCCTTGGCTCTGGCTATTACAAAAGGATACCGTACAACATCGACAGCGGCAGCCACAATACTGGCGAGACTTTCGCCATTACATATTAGAGCAGCACAAGAAGCAGCAGTAACGACTGTTCTCCAATTACATCTCTGCACTACTTTTGGACCGCTATGCTATGATCCAGAGGAGTATGAAACAAAACGTCTCATAAATGCAACCCATCCTTCACACCATAGAAAAGGGGTTGTAGCACACACCACCTCTCAGCACAGCCTCCATGAAAAAATAAGGCCAGTAAATGTCATCCATTCTTCTAACTACGGAAAAGGAGTCTTGGCCCACACATCATGGAAAGATGACTCTGACATAAAGGATCAATATTATGTTTATACGGATGGTTTAAAAGTTGATGGACAAGTAGGCTGTGGCCTTATAGTAACTAAGAACAAGGAAACGCTGATAACATGGAAATGTCATATGGGACAGAATAATTCAGTTTTCCAGGCTGAAGCAATTGCTATTCGTAAAGCTATCGAGTTAACAAGTCCCCCAGTAGAATCCACTGTTAATATTCTTACAGACAGCCTCTCGGTCATACATGCCTTACGAAATCTCAGACATGCTTCTCCTATCATAGCGGAGATTCAGGACACGCTGAAGGAGCGTTCGTCGGCAATGAATATCCTCATATCTTGGATAAAGGCACATGCCGTCATTCAAGGTAATGAGGAAGCCGACAGGCTAGCAAAAGAAGCAGCTCACAATATAGATGCACAATGCGTAATTACCAAACTCCCGTGGTCTCACCTTAAAAAAGTGACAAGGACAGCAGCTCAGCTCAGCACCAGTGGCAACACCAGTGGCAATGGGAATGGGACTCTACCGAACAAAGCAGGAAGACCTATTAATATTACCATAAAGTTTCGCTCGATCGTCTCTAGTCATCCCCACAAATAACGAGATTTGTGACGGGGCACGGGCCTTTCCCCTCCTATTACTATGAGAGAGGAATTGCAAATACCGAAAGTTGTGTCTGTGGAGGCATTGGTAAACCAGACCATTACTTGACTCAATGCCTTCTAACCGCACAGTGGCATGTGCAGCTTCCGGAACAGGCAACTTCTCATAAGCGTTATCTGATCAAACAGCCAGCATTTCGCATCAAAATATGCAAGATAATGAAGAAACTGGAGGAATTGGGAACAGATTTGTGCAGTGTGGAGTAGTTCTCTGTCAATCTCTCTTCTCTCTCTCTCTTCTATCTTTTTTAAAATTTTTTTTTATGTTTATTATTATTATTATTATTTGCTTTTATTGTATATATTATGAAACATGTATGTATTACGGCCCACTGTATATATTATGAAACATGTATGTACTATGACCAATGAAAATTATTATTGACTATGTATGTATTATGTAACAGGCTCAATATATTATGAAACATGTATGTACTATGGCCAATGAAAATTATTTTGAACTATGTATGTATTATGTAACAGGCCCAATATATTATGAACTATGTAAGCAAGTATGAACTATGTAAGCCACTATGTATTATGTAACAGACTCAATATATTATGAAACATGTATGTACTATGGCCAATGAAAATTATTATGAACTATGTATGTATTATGTAACAGGCTCAATATATTATGAACTATGTAAGCCACTATGTAAGCATGTATATGTATGAACTATGTAAGCATGTATATGTATGAACTATGTAAGCAAGTATTACGAAAGATCTATGTATTATGAACTACTTGTATATAAGCATGTACTATGAACTATGTAACTATGTAAGCATATATTATGAACTATGTAACTATGTAAGCATGTATACAGGACCAATGTATGCCCTTATAGGCCCCATGAGGTGTTGCGGAACCTGGACTAGACCCGAATAGTCTTAGTAAGCCGCACGGGTGACCAAATTTTGCTCTCAACTCAACAACTCAACTCTCTCTATATATAACTTTAAAGAATTTAAAGTTAAAAGTAAACTGAAGTCAGAGCAAAGCTATTCTTCAACAATATGAATAATAGCAATCGTTTATAAGAGATTTAACACCATATACAAACATATCAAAATTAAAATAAGAATTCATAGTAGTATAAACTCTAAAATAAAAATTGAAAATTAAAATGCAAAAGGGAAAAATTCAATACAATAAAAATAAAAAATAAAAATTAATCTCCTTTTACTGAAACTCCAATTCAGAACTCGTCAGAGGAAAATGAATTAAAGCTTCACAAAAGTAGATTAGTATGTTTCGAAAACGTGTTTCGTTCTTCTGGTTCATTTGAGATTAAAAACCTCAAAAGGAATCTATTAAATTTTCATTTAAGACGCTAAAATTCATATAAAATCGAAAACTCGAATCTCAAATGTACCAGGATTTCCCCTACACGCCCCCGAAAAACTTGGTAAAACGAATAAAACATAACATTGAGCTAAATTGACTACTAAAAAAAAAAAAAAAAAACCACAAGACATTACATTATTTAAAAGACCGTTCAAAAAAATCAAATTAGTCTAAAATCATTGTATGCAAATCCGAAATTCAAAAGCAAAATAACATAAAGAGTAAAGCAAATTAATCGACTTTTGTGAAGCTTTAATTCCTTTACCTCTGAGAATTTCTGAACTGGAGTTTCAGTAAAAGGAGATTAATTTTAATTTTTTATTTTTATTATATTGTATTTTTTTTTCCTTTCGCATTTTAATTAATTTTTATTTTTAGAGTTTTTACTACTATGAATTCTTATTTTAATTTTTATATGCTTGGATATGGTGTTAAACCTCTCATAAACGAATGCTATTATTAATATTGTTGACAAATAGCTTTGCTTTGACTCCAATTTACTTTTAACTTTAAATTAAGTCCATTTTTACTTCAATCATGCAGCTATAGCTCAGGACGGATATAAAAATTTGCTTTTAATTTTAGCATTTTTTTTTTTTTTTGGTATATATAGATATCGATATTTGGTCCTGCTGATAACAATAAAACACAGAAACGCACAGCTAGATGTTATAGCAGACCTATATGCAAAAGTGCAATGTTCTACGGCTCATCGTTTCCCAGTTATTCGAGATACATATGTACACACGTACACACGTCACGAAAAAAAATCCGTTTTGAATTTCTTTTACAATCCATTTTTGAATACAGAGTCCTTTATTCAGTCCACGCGTTCAGACGTCGCACAAAAATAGTCAAAATGTTGATATCCGAAATGTTTCGCTATTACAGTATATTTTCTTTACTTCATAGACGAAAGTAATAAATATAAGAGGAAAAATACGCTAAACTTGTTCAAGATTAAAAATTATTATTTTTAGAAATGTATAAATTTTCATGCAATACAAAAATGTAAAATGCAGGATGCAAGAAAACACAAAGAAAAAAATTACGAAGAACGCAACTACCTGTAGAACGAACTTATTTCTAAACACAAATTCACAGAAATATGGTCCCAGGCCATGTTCCAACAAGCTTGTTAGAAATAATAGATAGAATTCAAAAACAGAAAACTCATATTCATACAAACAATACGTATGCAACCAATGGTATGAAAATGCACAAAAATATTTTAAGCTGGCAGTGGATCTTACAGAGACATGGAAGCTTTTTCTTTACGTTTAAAAGGAGAAATTTGCGGATTGCTAAGAAGTGTTAGTAAATGCATCTGTAAGTGAAAAAGTAACAGTTTATGTAGAACAGTCCTCAAATGTAATAAATGAAAACTTAATAGCAAATCTACATCCTAGTGTTTTTTTCTTTCTTTCGTAAATTTCGATATGTAAGAGGAAACTTCTGTGAGATTGATTACGGATTTGGTTAGTTGAAACATTGCCTACCGGAACTAGAATAAATCAGGATTTGCATCTTCTAATGCTGTCTGTTTTAACTTCAGATTTGGGCTAGAAAATTTACTTGTGATGCAGAAAAAGAACCATTGTCGTTGTTGTCTTGTCCGAGAAGTCAGTGCAGAGGAGTCAAATAGGACCGAAAGTATCCAGAACAGCCATCAATAATCTTCGAAGAATAGAAGAGTTGCTGCGAGGGAGCTATATCAGTACTGAGGAGCTTGGCCAAAATAGCAGGACAGTCGAAGATATATTCTGGAGAAAGTTGGATATCAGTGCATTGAGGACATCTAATTATAATTTCGCTGTCCATCAAAGGATATCTCTATTCCTTTCAAGTGTTTTGTTTTAAGTCTTATGGTAGTGGAAATGACACGGTTACAATCTAGGGCAGGAATAGAATTCTTCTAGATTGATTGGGAGGTAAGTCTTCCAGCCTCTTTAAAGGCTCTGGCAAACTTCCTTTTCCATGGTAATCCTTTTCCATAGTGTAATTCCTAATTTAAACTTAAATATTAAAGGATTCACAGTGATAAGGAAACATAGGCTCACTGGTATTGGTGGAGGCATTGCTTCCAGAAGGAGAAGGCATTGCTTCCTTCTGCCTTTCTGTTGGCAGAAGTTTCTCATCTTCTGTCAACAGTTATACCGAGGCTCAAGCCATAAATATTTTTCTTCCTAAAAGAACAGTTAAAAAATAAAAATGAGGATACTCATGTAAACTTTCCGAAATTAAACGTAGACAAAATTTCAAGTAATATTCCCTTACTTTTTAACATGTTCGTTATTTTGTTAAGTCGTCGTAATGAGCATATCTGAGATACGAAATGCAATCGAAAGCGAAGATAAACAAATATTTCACTGTTTGTCAATGAATAAAATTTCTCAGGAAATGAAATTATTTGAAAATTATCCAAAAGTAAAAAATGTAGTTACATGTAATATCTTGACCATAATTCCTGAATGTGTTTATTTCGCAAAGAAATGGTTAAAAGCTCCCAAATTAGTAATAAAAGACTGAATTTGGTTAGCTTTCAATGGAAAAGCAATAAATAGTTCTGCTTACTGATAAAATACTACTTTTAAATTCTCTAGCTAAAGCGAAAGATGACTTTCCTCAGACATTGGCATGATAGGGAATAAAAATTAAGGCTAAGATCAGCGGCTATTTGAGCAATACAAAGTAACTTTATGTTTAATTGGTTACTTCAAAGATACTAAAACATTTTTCCAAAAAAATGCTCTCTTATATCCTTTCAGTAATGTGAATGACAAAATAGCCTAAAATTAAATAAATACGTGGATAAATCTTATGAAAAACGGTAAATTCACACGAAAAGTTTTCTAAAGTCTATATAAGGGAAAAGAGCGATTGTAATAAATTGTAAAAATGTTCATTAGAAGTACATTATTTTTTTTTTTGCTACTGATCTTCAAATTAAAAAAAAAAAAAAAAAAAAAAAAAAAAAAAAAATCAACGAAAATGTAATTTATTACGTTCACGTTTTTACGGTACATCCTTTTGTCTGAAATACTCCACTTTCTTTTCCGTTTTACACTTGACTTTTGCCTCCTTAGCTTGAGAAAAAGTTTTGCTTATATTGTGTACTTCTCTTACAATGTCTGAAGGCATTATAATAATTTACATTACAAACTAATGTGCGCAAAATCCCTAGTTATACATGAATTATTTTAAATGTTTGCGTAAACTGAAATGAAGGATGTAGCCTATGCGTAACGAGAATAGTGCAAGTTTGCCCTATAATGTCGCCTATAAATGTGTCTTTTCTCAGTCGTTTACATGCTTTTCTATTCTTATCAATT